TGCAGCGACATGGCATAATCAACAAGCGCAATTGCGTGATATGGTACCGTAAATCTTCTCACGAGTACCTCACCCATAATCCCCATTCCCCTCATCTCTGTGTGTGGATGGGATTCTCCTCAAAGCGTCTCCTGCGTCCCGTTTTTTTGATGCTACGGTTTCCGGCGACAGTTACCTCCATATGCTGCAGACGCGTGTTATCCCGCAGCTCAAGCAGCACGAGAAGTCATCGACCGTTTTTCAACAAGATAGCGCTCCCCCCACTACTCAAACCAAGTGAGAACTTACCTCCGACAGCAATTTTCTGATGAGAGAGTCACTGCTCGTGAATTTTCAAACTTTTGTCCCGCAATGTCACCCGATCTCACACCACTGGATCATTGTTTTTGGGGAGAGGTCAAGGCTCGCGTATATAATGAAAATGAACCGAAGATTTTGGTGGAGTTAAGAGCAAGAATTGAAGAGGAATGCGCACGAGTGACGCTTGAAGATGTTAAACATGCTGCGTCTCACATCTCATACGCCTCCAACTTGTTATAGAAAAAAGGTGCGCTTTCTTTCAGCACCTTTTGTAATTAAAGTTTATTTACAGTAAACATGTATAATGCGTAAATGCGAAAATAAAAAATAGTATACGTTTGAGTTAGTGTTAAAGTTGTATTTTGGGTATTAGGTTTTGCGTCTATTATGAGACATACTGTATATGGCCGACTTGCATTCAATAAGGATTTGTCCGTCTAAAAGTTGTTGGACAACTGCGCGTCGTTACGATGACACGAACGTTTTGCCTTGAGGCGAGTTTAATAATCTGGATGACCCTGCGATTTTAAAGGAGTGAGATCGACGAGCAAGCTTGGTGAGTGCCATCGGGCTAAGCGGGGCGGTATGAAAATGAACCCTAGAGTCACATGAAACAGAAAGCTACTGGAGTTACTAATAGGAGAACCATCCCCAAACGTAACTGAATCACACAACTGCCAATGGAATAACTGTTTTCGTTGAGTCAGATTCATTTGCCCTTGACAGATGAATTCTATTTTTAGTATCAATTTCTGGCCTTAGAACTTTCCACGTGAGCATTTGAAACAACCCGTTTTCGGCTGCGCCTGACACGCGTGCACGCGTCAGTGTTCAATCGATCAGCTGACTCGCACGTTCATTGGCCCTCTGGTTTGGCCAATCGCATCCGGCTATCAAGCGGCTATCCAGACTCAGGTTCACGGTATTAAGAAGGCATTAGCAAAAACTGTGGTCCACAACAGTTACCCCCTCCTAAAGCTGATACCTTGCTCTGATCACAGAAGTTCGCCGTGATGACCCTGAGGTTTATACTAAAATCATTGTTCTTTCTGGTTTAGGAACAGCCGACAGGTCAACAAGAGTAGGCAGGTGAAAAACAGTGGAACTTCTTGATCGGATCGACCAATATTATGAGGCGACCATGGAGTTCATTCATTTTACTGCGGCAGAGATCTGACGATGGTGAAGTGCATCCTTCAGCGGATCACCCAAAAGTGTTCACAGTATCACCAAAAGGCACATTCGGCTGTCATCACTTTTCGGTAACACCCAATAGGGCAGTCCTTCATGGTAGCTTCTCTCAGTCATACTCTGGTTTGATGTTTGGTCTCTACGCAGCATCTATGTGCATTGCGCGCAAGTTCTACATCTGAAAGTCTGTGGTACTTCCCCACGCTTGCGTGCTGAGGGTTCATTCACGCCATTGCCTCGTAAAAAATGCATAGAGAATTTAGAAACAGCTTAAGTTAAGCTACATAAAATATAATCGCAGTAGCAGGATATACCACTCGCCTATTTATGACGCCCTTTATTGATTAGTCCTCATCATGATAGGCAAATCATTTGGATGCATTCCAAATGTTTTCTTTCCAAGTGTTACTTTGTTACACCTGAGTACTACTCAGGCGTTGATCACTGGTTGGGAGCATTCATCAGCCGATTAGTTTAGGCAGAAAGTACTGCCACATACAGACTGGATTGATTTATCGTGAATCAGAATAACAGACCATCTTGTTTAGACGTAGTGCAAAACTCATAAGGTTGCTGAAAACTCTTCGACAGACCAATACCGGTTTCGCTCTCCTTGGGGCTCATCAGACCATCTTATCGCTGAACGGATATCCACAGATTGTCTCATAATACACGCAAAAATATTAGCCATGATAAAACTTCAACAATAATTCAAACGTTTATTACTTTTTGTACAAACATACGCTCATTATGGAGATTTACTGCGAATGAACTGATATTACAAAAGTTGTTGAAAAAAGCGCACCTTTCTTCTATAACAAGTTATGGGTGGTATGAGATGTGAGACAGAACATGTTTAACTTCTTCAAGTGTCACTCATGCACACTCCTCTTCAATTCTTGCTCTTAACTCCACCAAATTCTTCGGTATATTTTCATGATATACGTGAGCCTTGATCATTCTCCAAAACCAATAATCCAGAGGTGTGAGATTGGGTGACCTTGCGTGCCAAAAGTTTGGAAATCCACGAGCAATGACTGTCATCAGAAAATTGCCCCCGGAGGTAAGTTCTCACATGGTTTGAGTAGTGGGGTGGAGCGCCATCTTGTTGAAAGACAGTCGATGAATTCTTGTGCTGCTTGAGTTGCGGGATAACTTGCGTCTGCAGGATATGGACGTAACTGTCGCCGGAAACCGTTGAATCAAAGAAAAACGGACGCAGGAGACACTTTGAAGAGAACCCCATCCACACACAGAGATGAGGGGAATGGAGATTAAG